TCGACATAAGGACGCCGAGTGCCGGTACTGCCACAAACGGGGGCATCTGGAGAAGGTTTGTCGTACTAAACTGCAGAGAGACAAGCGTGACTGTCACCATGTCATGGGTGAGGATCTTTCTACCTCCGACTCTGACTGTGAAGACGCAGGTGAGAGCGTTCCAATGTATACTGTACGTGATACTACAGGCAGCGTACCCCCGTTTGCTGTGGATGTTGTAATCAATGAGGTACCCATCCCTATTCGCATGGAAGTTGATACTGGCAGTGGTGTGTCCATACTAAATAAACGGGATTTCGAGAAGCTGGGTGGGGTTCTGTCTACCTTACCTAAATCCACCGTACTGTTGAGGGGTTTCTCTGATAAGCCTATTACCTGCCTGGGCGAGCTTGAAATGAATGTCACCTTGAATGGTACGACAGCGCCCGTTAAGCTCAGAGTTGTAGATGTCTCGGGACCATCCCTTTTGGGAAGGGACATGCTACAACTGTTTCAATTACCATGGAATGAAATCTTCTCTGTCAAAACTAGAATTGATGAAACCGTGGCACAAATTCAACTGCGTGAGGAAATTATGGCCCAATTTCCAGATCTGTTTGATTCTACCTCAATGGGCAAACTAAACACAATGAAGGTCAACCTGCGTGTTGACGACGCACACCCGGTTTTCCTCAAGCCTCGCAAAGTCCCATTTGCAATTACTGAGAAATACGATGAGGCTCTTGATCAACTCGAGCGCGATGGCATTCTCGAGAAAGTTGAATATTCACAATGGGCAACGCCAACTGTTCCGGTCAAAAAGCCGGATGGCTCGATTCGCATTTGTGCGGATTACTCGCGCACTCTGAATGCACATTCACCGCTGGAAAGCTATCCGCTACCTACAATCGCTGAGATCCGCGCTAAATTGTCAGGCGGTACGAAATTCACCAAAATCGATCTCAAGCAGGCGTATCACCAGCTCGAGCTCGATGAATCATGCCGAAAGTACACCACTATCAATACTCACCGTGGTTTGTTTGAATATGTGCGCTTACCGTTCGGTGTACACTCGGCTGTTGCCATTTTTCAGCGCACCATGGAGACTGTGCTGGCTGGCATCGATGGATGCATTGTATACATCGATGACATTGTGGTTACGGGCAAAACACCTGACGAGCATCGAGCGACCCTTGTGAAAGTTCTCCAGCGCCTGCAAGAAGTCGGCATGAAACTAAAACTCGAGAAGTTTGAAGTCATGCTTGACAGCATCTCCTACTTGGGGCACACATTCTCAGCGGAGGGTGTATCGCCATCAGCCGAGCGCACTACAGCCATGAAAGACGCAAAACCTCCTACTACTGTGAGTGAACTGCAATCGTTCATCGGTTCTGCGAACTACGTCAGAGCATTCATTCCGAATTTTGCCACCATCATGGCACCGTTGTACGCCTTACTCAAAAAAGATGCTGTGTGGAAGTGGGAGTCTAGTGAGAGCAACGCGTTTGACGCAATCAGATGTGCACTCTGCGCCACTGAAACGTTGGCTTTCTACTCCACTACGAAGGACATCAAGGTCCAAGTTGACGCCTCAGGCGTAGGTCTAGGAGCGGTGCTATTGCAAGAAGAGCGACCTGGTCATTTCCGTCCCATTGCATATGCCTCGCGTGTTTTGACCAAGGCGGAAAAGAACTACTCTAACATCGAGCGAGAGGCGCTTGCCGTGGTGTTCGGAGCTACTACTTTCCGCCAGTACCTTCTCGGTCGCAAGTTCATTTTCGAAACAGACCACCAGCCGCTTGTTAAACTGCTTGGGTGTACAGATGGCGTTCCGTACTTGGTGTCACCGAGACTCAAGAAATGGAAGTTGGCCCTAGCGGCATACGACTACTCTATCAAGCACATCCCAGGGCGCCAAAACCCATTCGCTGATTTCATGTCGCGCCAACCTGGTCCTGGCGCTCCCTGCTCCGACGAGGTAGCTGATGAACAGGTACTATTCATTGAAAGCGAAGTCATTAATGCGGACACAGTTGCTACCGAAACGAAACGGGATCCTATACTGAAGACAGTTTGGCACCATGTACTGAATGGGTGGCCGGAAACCATTGATCAAACTCTACAGCCGTACTTTGCGAAGCGCTGGGAGTTGTCTGTGTCTGACAATATCCTTCTTTGGAACGATCGTGTCATTGTTCCAGAATCATTACGTGAGTTCTTGCTGAACGATCTTCACTATGAACACACAGGTGTAGTTCGTATGAAACGCTTGGCACGTCGCTACATGTGGTGGCCTCGTATCGACAGGCGAATGACTGTTGGGACATTCTTCCAAAACATGACGTCACAGAATTCGTAAAAAAAAGACAACTTTTGTCGCAAGCGGCTAGCCTGTCGCGCTCGCGAGACTCATCTTGGGCGCGCTCGAGCTGCGAAGCGCGACACACGAGCGCGACCCAAACTGTGTCACGTGTGTGTCGAATCTGATCGTCATTATGATCGCCTTCGATTATTTATTTTCGTTCTACTCGACAATTCCAAAAATCAGTGCCATTGGCTTTAGCTTTGCCCTTGAACTTGAAATCTCGTGCCTTATTCTTTCTTGGGGACTGGTGTTGGATATTGAACGGGCGGAGTGACCGCCGGGATGATGGATGAAGGAGATGATGGCCTAATCTTGGCTGCGCGCATTCTCATTTTCGCGTGGCCTGCCACTAGTGTTTGATTCACAAAGGGTGTCACAGGCATAGCTGGAGGAAGAAAGGTGATGTGAACTTCAGAAGTTCTGCCATCGCAGCACTGTATAGAGGGCCATTAGAGGCTGTGTAGGCTGTATGTTTGATTTAGTTTGATTTAGCTCAGTGCTGAGCTTGCACCACACCACAGGTAGCATATTGAGTATTATTTACATTATCCATATAACTTGAACCGCTCTGTGAGCGGTTCTGAAAAACCTTTACTGGCGCTGCCCCGTCGTAAAAGTAAGAAATTAAAACTGGCTCATTGTACCCCCAAATGTGAACTGATCCACCTAAATCGCAAATGACGTGACCCGAACGCAGCAGTAGCACGAGGGTGCACTTGTGGTGTGCCGCAGGGCTCTGTACTAGGACCCATGCTGTTCTCCATATACACCAGAGATATCCCCTCGGAATCTGCGCCGGCATCATCACTGCAGTTTGCGGATGACATCGCCCTGACATGTGCAAGACGGACAGCGCAAGAGGTGTCTGATGTGCTCAGCTTGGCGGTTACCTCCCTCTCAAGTTGGCTGGACGCTTGTGGTCTTGTATTAAATGCAAAGAAGAGTAATGTATTGGTTTTTACCAGCAGCAGTGGGCAGCAGCCGGACGTGGGTGTACGCTGTCGAAATGATGTGCTTCCGCACACCACCAGCGCGAAATACCTCGGCGTCTTAATCGATGAACGAATGACCTGGCAACCGCAAGTTGACTTGTGCATCTCACGCACTGCTAGGAAGATCGGTAGTCTGTGGCGGGCGCGACGCTGCCTCACTCTAGCTAGTCAAAGCAAGTACTTCCTATCTGTCATCATGCCGGATTTGATATATGGATCGTCAGCATATGGCTCCGGCTTGACCCACAACCAGCTAAACCGCTTGCAGGTGGCCCAAAACCGCGCAGCAAGGGCGGTGTTCAGACGACCACGATTTACCAGGGCCCGTGACCTCTTGGAGAGGCTCTCTGTTTATCGCGTGGACGAGTTATATCGCCAGAAACTGCTCGTGCTGGTATGGCGGTTCGTTCATAACCGTGCCAGTCCTGCTCTGCAGGCACTGTTTGTTCGCAACTGCGGAGCAACTCGCCTTCAGCGCAGTCTGGGCCTACAACAACCAATAGCCAGAAGCCGAGCAGGCCAATGCCGACCGGCATCTCGCGGTTGCCTGTTATGGAACCATATACCTGACACGGTGCGAGCTATGGGCAACATCCCAGCATTCCGCCAAGCTGCCATTCCCTACACGTAAGTCGTTGTAGACTGCTATACAGTTGGCCATACCATGGTATTCAGTACCCACGAACTTTGCAAAGCCGATAATGTGATAATGTACCGTAGTGCATGCACCGGTGGTACCACCACTTCGTAGACTGCCTCCCGTTCATTTCTGTGCTCCTGTCTTTATTCTCGTCAGCTGTGTACTTCAGCAGTTCAATTCTGTGCTCTAGTCCTCTTTATTCTTGTGAGTTGTGTACTCGATTTGCTGTTTGTCTGGTTTATTTGAATTCGCACAGTAAATGTGTACTTCAGTTATTCTCTCCTCCCTCTTCTGAGTTTGACTCTCCGCTGGCCTTCTCTCCTCCCATCCCCTTACATCGTATTGGGCCTGCGCACACACTACATTGTCACATAGCACAACTCAACCATTCGCTACCCTGTTATTGAGCACTCCTGCTCGTTTGGTCTCGCAAATCCAAATAAAATCAATCAATCAATCAGGTTCCTACCTGTGGATGCAGATGGGGACGCTGGTCCACAGGCCATGGTCGTCGATGAACTCCCATGTTGGATATCCGATGGAAGTAACTATGTGTACTAGCAAAGTTACACTGCCACTGATACCATGTACTAGTGATGGTGTTACCCTATGATGTGCTGTGATCCTGTGCCCTCCCGACCTCGTGCTACTGGTGCGTTCGGGTCCCGTCATTCCCGATTTAGGTGGATCAGTTCACATTTGGGGGGACAATGGGCCAGTTTTAATTTCTTACTTTTACGACGGGGCAGCGCCAGTAAAGGTTTTTCAGAACCGCTCACAGAGCGATTTTTATATGGATAATTTCAGTTTTTTTTCCGTTCCCTCCCCACCCCAACCCCGAAGGTAAACATGATGAACACGCGCGCGATGTACTGTGTGTAGGCATGAGACTGCGATAACACACTGATACATACCAGCCATCCCCACCTCGCTTACCCCGCACACAGCTACACAAACACGCGGATGCACACGGTACACGCACACATACGCACATGCACACGACACAAACAGGAAATTCTTCATGTAAAATGCCATGCAAAGCAGTGGCCACCGTACTTTTAAAAGGAAGTCAGTTGTGGAACAAAATAATTCAACTACAACGTGTAGACAAGCTGACGGCCAAAGCACAACATAGCAAACATGACATTTGCCCAAGGATTGCAGTTTGCAGACCACGCCATGGAAGCAGCGAATACAGAATGTAATATCATACAAAGTGACAAGCAAAGAAGTGGCCACCATACACCAGAGACTTGCAGAAAGTCACATATCCAACAGATGGAAAAGTGAACAGCAATCTGGTACAGCCCACACAAGACAAAGCTGACCTGATACTTGTCCCAGGATCGCAAGTGGCAGATCCTTTTCAATGCATAACATGCAGGTGTACGTTACACGCATGGACAAAAACTGACCGTGTCGCCAGCATACAATGTCATCACATAATTATATACCCCACAAGTTACACACATGCACAGTAGAAGCACAATGAAAGCAATGGAAAAGTACGATGTGGTTGCTGAAGCATCTTCGCACTTCAAATTCAGACTTAAATGTGGTCGTCCCGAGATGATATACCTGCAAGATACAAGTGATGCAGAAAGAAAGCAGAAGGTCGTGAGGTAGGCTATGAGACACCACAAACGGGTCACCTACATGTATGTTCAGGGCTAGTGCACTCGCACACAGAATTATCATAATCGAGCATTTCCCAAACTGAGAAGTGCAAGGAAATCCACTTGCATGCACAGGAGCAATTTTGCCGCTGATGTGATGCGCAATTCGAGACGATCTGCGATGCTGCGTGCTCACCTCTGATGCCGATTACTTCCTTGCTTAGACCGGCCCGGTCTGCTCTCCCTTCACTCTGTTCTAAATCCTACTTGGAGCAGTAAGGCTGTGTCACTGCTCCTACTGATAACCCAGTTAGGTTGTGGTCATTGTTGTGAAAGCAATATCATCGTCATTGTGGTAATAACATACGTTTTTGCACAGCGGCTGGCGCTAGAACGTGCAGCAAGCAGCACGCTTGTACTTCGGATTTTGCGATTTTTTCGAGGGCAATGGCTTCCTTTTTGCTTTGGCTACCTACGAAGTATGACCAAAAAATCCATGAGAAGTATTTTTTGGAGCTGGAGTACGAGTGGGGTTGTCTGATAAGTGCTACGAGAACCCTGCTTTGTGGCTGTAGAGCGCTTAAACGTGCCCTGTTGGCCGAAAAATCCGATTTTTTCTCTCCCGGGGAACACCCCCGGACCCCCCTTGTACCACTCCCAACCACCCTGTGACACCCCTGTCATTGTAGCTTACCTTCTGTCTTTCTTGGAGATGCAGTAGCAGCTGAGGACTTGCATACAATCTCTGTTTCAACTGCCACTATTTCCACAATGTTGTCAGGTATTGGTGCGGGCGACACACGCAGATTCTACACACGCAGAAGGAAAGAAACACCATGTTTCGGTGGAAGTGCGCGAGTTCGATTGGGATTCAAGTAGGAAGGGAGCGTCGCAGCTTCCTCGGACCAAGACCATTCGACTCAGCACCCCGAAGACCACAACTGGTGAAATTTTGATTTTAGGGTATACTTCCCCTTTAAAAAATCACGGGTCTGCGTGAAACTCAGATTGAGCTATCAGATTTTCCCCCGAGACAGAATAATGATTTCACTTAGCACCATAGGAGAGAGCAATGAAAACAAACACGATGACCAGTAAGAGCAAAAATCTGGAACATGACTTCTATTATGTTCTAATTTAGTTCTAAACGAAGCATAACGTCAGAACGGGACATTTTCATGTCTGTTGTCGGCAGGAAAAGGTCAATTGTCGGCGGGTCGTGAAATGCCTCCAAAATCAGCAGGCTACTGACATGTCGGCAGGTGTGGCAACACAGACACACACACACAACCACACACACACACACACACGCGCGTACACATGCACACACGTACACACACACAAACACACACACACATACATGCACACACACACACACACGCATTACACCTTCAAGCAGCCGAGCCCGTTGGCAACAGACCCAACACAATCAGGCATAAAGGCACCAACCAACCGAACTAGCTGGCACATACATACACACACTTACACACACTTACACACACACATACATACATACTACTACTACTACTACTAGCAGCATGACTGCCCAGAGGGGCAAGTGTCACCCCTATGGAAAGGGGACCAGAAAACGGGACACGGATCACAAGCAGGACCGCGAATGTCTGGCTAGATCCTGCTGCCGGCGGAAATTGCGTTTACAACGTGGGCAGCTGAGGGGCAGAGCTGCTCTCTCAGCAGCAGATGGTCTCGCACCACGATTGCAGTTGTGACGCTTGAACCCGGCCGCAGAACGGAAGCATCGCTGACATGTTGGGCAGTGCTGCTGGCAACAAGCTGAAAGTGGCACAGACAGACTGACTGTTGGTGTAGGAGAACTCGTGGCAGGCTGGCATCGATGAACAGAGTAGCCACCCTTGCTGCGGAACCACCTCTGGCAGTTCTGGCATTGCACTGATCCACGCTGGAGCTGGATGGGAAGCCGTCTCTGAGTGGTGCACTTGTGCCGCGTTCTATCTGAGACCCGTGAGAAGTTCCGGTCACACACTGCGCAATGCACAGACTTGGGCATGGTGGAACTCGACTGAGGGGCAACCCGTACTTCCCTCCACTGTTGGCGGTCCTGAGCAAGGATGAACCACTGAGATGGCTGTTGCAGTGCAACCTTGAGGTCGGTCATCACCGTGTCTTTCCACCGTCGCCGGGGACCACAAAACGGCCGAGGCACAGGTAGCCACCCAAAGAGGAGTTGGAGGGGGGTGCGATCCTCATCCATACGCGCAACGTGCCCAGTCCATTCCAGACGCCGATTGCGGAGGCGTGTAGACATCAGTACTGGGTCTCCCCAACGGTTCCGCAGGTCTGTGGATGACAGCCGCTCGGACCACTGACGAGGCTTGGTGATGCTGAGGACAGTCCGGATGCATTGATGGTGGAATTTATCCAAACTTCTGATATCCCGTTGGAGTGGGGTCCAACACTCTCCGCCATACAGTAATATTGAGGAAACGCAGGCCATGTACAGGTGGCGTTTACTAGAGAGGGACAGAGATCTGTCAGTGAATACCTTCTGGAGGGCTCCGAAGGCCTTTGAGGCTTCGGCAATACGGCGCTTGATGTCGGATGAAGAACGACTGTCAGGGGTCACTATGGATCCTAGGTAGGTGAACTTCGGCACGGCTTCGATAGTGCCAAGGGGGAGAACGATGTCAGCCGAGTCTTCAGCAGAGACCCCATGGCCCGCCGTCATGATCTTCGTCTTGGCGATGCTCACAGTTAGTCCAAATTCTCGGGCAACACTACAGAAGAGCTCCACACCAAACTCAGCATCACTACGGCATTCAGACACGAGAACGGCATCATCAGCATACTCCAGGTCACTAACAGACAGTGACTCGCCAGCCCTGCGCGATGATGAGCAGGGGTAGAGTTGGCCATCGATGGAAAACTGGATGCTGACAGAGTGACTACGACCTGCATCCTTTAGTCGGGTACGCCATGTCTCAACAACCGCCCCGAAGTACAGGTTAAAGAGAACGGGTGCCATGACACATCCTTGTCGGAGACCATTAACCACAGGGAACTCATCAGAGGTGGAGTTGCCAACTCGGACCGAGGCAGAGGTAGAGGTGTGGAAAGCCTTAATCAGGGCCACTAGCTGTTGCGGGACCCCAAGTCGGCCCAAGGCCACCCAGAGAGCAGCGCGTGGTACAGAATCGTACGCCTTTTTCAAATCCACAAACACACAGAAGAGCTGCTGACGATGTTCGTATGCTTTCTCGATTAGCTGGCGGAGCGAGAAGATGGCATCAACACAGCCCCTGCCTGGCCGAAAGCCGCTCTGGGACTCTGGGAGTTCCGACTCAGCCAACAACTGCAGGCGATCTTGAATCATGCGGCCACACACCTTGCCAACAACATCAAGAAGGGCAATACCCCGCCAATTATCACATTTGGACAGGTCGCCCTTCTTGGGAACAGGAACCAACTCGGCATCGCGCCATTCCTGCGGAACAGTGGCCGTCGTCCAAGCAAGTTGGACGAGATCCAGCAATGCGTCCAGGGAATCATGGCCACCTGCTTTCACAAGCTCGGGGACTATACGCGAGGAACCTCCAGCTTTGCCATTTGCAAGGTGTCTGATGGCGACGACAAGGTCTTCCATTGTTGGTGTGACTGCCAGAGACTCGTCAGGCTCACGTTGAGGGATGTTAGCAACGGTGGAGGCATTGAAGGTACTGGGGACATTGAGCAAGTTCGAGAAGTGAGTGGACCAGCAGTCTTCCTGCTCCTCCAAAGATGTGCAAACTATGCCCTCAGCATTACGGACCGGATGGATGGTGACGGATCGGAGTCCTGAATAGCACCGTTGAATGTCTCGGATGGCGGACCAAACGTGCTTACCACTAAATTTGCCACGCTCCACAGTGCTAGCTCTCTGCTCCAACCATGCACTCTTCGATACATACATACATACATACATACATACATACATACATACACACACTTACACAATCTCACTCACCAGTAGGAATGACAAAAGTCAAGCCTGGTTTCAATTCGACGCGGGCACACTTCTCGACCATGTCACCCAGGAATATATCCTGCTGTTTACCCGACAACACCCACTGCTCATAGATCTGAAGATTGATTGGGGTCGGAGGAATCAGCCAGAAAACCTGCAGTGCACAACCAACACACGCACACACACACACACACACGGCCGCATTGTAAACAGTACAGTTAGTCACACCTTTTTACACTGAACCTCAACGGTAAAGAAGGGTTAGAGCACCGCTGCCCTCAAGTGAAGGCGCCTGGCTCGAGTCCTGGTGGCGCCAGTCAATTTTTTCTTCAGACGTTTTCCCGTTTGCATCTTTCCCTCAACCAATGAACAGGTAAGGAGTCGTCTGTATTTTTCGAAAAATTAAAAAATCCGTCCTCGGGCAAAAAGGGGTAGGGTTGTCAAGAGTGCTGGCTGAATTAATTTTTTTTGATTATTCGTACTTTTTTTCTTTTTTTTTTTGCTCCAGGCCAGGGCTTTCATACACTTGTTGCACTGACTGTGTAGTGTACTGTAGACCAGGGAGTCGTAAAATACCGGTATTTACGACTCCCTGCTGTAGACGTAGTGTAGGATCGATTGTCGCAAACACCAGTATCTACTATACATGACTTTTCAGATTTTTCATGTAGTTGTAGGACGTGCATGGCCGTCGGTTGACCTACTACTCACTGTACTTAGCTACTAGTACTTGACATACAATGTAGGTGCAGTCAGAAAACATGGGGTCAGGAGTTATTATTTTCGGTAAAAATCAAAAACTTAACGGGAAAAAATGGGGGTGGGTGGGTGGGTCAGAGACAAATTGGCATGAGGACGGATTTTTTAATTTTTCGAAAATTACGGACGACCCTAAAGAAGGTGGTGTGACTTACAATCGAGCGTGACTTCTTCCTACGTAATATGTGAATGTACTGTATAGAAACAACTTGGCTCAGACCTGTTGCGACTTATCATCAAGTGCGACTTCTAATCAGTGAAATGCTGTACACTTAAGCCAATGCCAGCTTTCTTCTTCTCATTCCACTTCCTTCCAAGGTTCTTCTACAAGACACATTCGTGATTATAAGGAGCTTGTCAGTCAGAAGGATGGACAGAGAGGTAAATATACATACAAGTACGGATGGATGATGGGTAGAGAAACAGACAGAAAGACAGACAGACAGACAGATTAACAGACAGACAGACAGACAGACAGATAAACAGACAGACAGACAGACAGACAGATAAACAGACAGACAGCCAGGTAAACAGACAGACAGATAAACAGACATACAGACAGACAGACAGATGTATGTCTGTATCTACACCCATCGTCCATCTATATACTGTGTACATGTGTGTGACACAAAAACAGACAAACAGACAGGGAATGCTGACCTTTCCACCCTTGAGAATGTGATACCAGACGGATGTGCCACCAAAGTCGATACGGAAATCTGTGTAGCAGCCACCGACGCTCATCAGGCAGTACCTGTGACAGCACGGCATCACCACAAGCAACAGCAGTAGACCAGCAACAACAACAGCAGCTCCATCAGTAAGCCAGCAACAATAACAGCAGCTCCATCAGTAAGCCAGCAACAGCAACAGCACAAGTAACAGCAGTAGACCAGCAACAGCAACAGCCACACAATCAGTAAGCCAACAACAACAGTAGACCAGCAACAGCAGCGCCAGCACAACCGGCACCAGCAGTAGGGCAGCCAGCAACAGCAACAGCAGCACAATCAGTAAGCCAACAACAGCAGCAGCACCACAAGCACCAGCAATAGGGCAGCTACACCTGTAGTACTATCAACAGCACCAGCAGTCGGCCAGTAACAGCAACACCGGCGGCAGCAGCAGCACCATCAACAAGAACAAACAAAACACATACTTTTGCACTTTGGGATATTTCATGTCGACCAGTCGGTTGGTGGCCTCCTGCTGCAAAGCGCGCAATGTTTCCGGCCACACCAAGTCCACTCCATCCATATGACGTACCTGTGTGCAGCAACAACAACAACAACAGCAACAGCAGCCGCAGCAAGCAAGCAGTAGGAAGAAGAAAAGACAAATGAGCAATTTGTACACGGTTGCGAATACATACTATACAGCTTGTGATGGGGCATTGATAAACCAATATAAACACATTGCACAAACCAATCAGGAGTTAAAAATCCATACTTTCTCAAAACGAGCCTAAGCATGATCCAGGGCCTGCTCTAGACATTCAACACAGCCCGGTCAAAGTGTACCTGGCGCATGCAGGCCAGCCGGGTCAAGCCGGGTCAGATCATCCGGCAGAAAAACAACCAAAAAGCCTGCTCAAAACGCAGGAAAACAGAAAGGCGAATTTATTACCGGAAAAATCGGAAATTTTAGAGAACAATTGTACAAGGCGAACTATCAAAGTCCGCAAACGTAGAAGGTAAACGACAAAGCGTGATTTCTTTTTCTCTTCGCGCCACTTTTGACTGCCTGCCCCCATCGACTTTGAATGTCCTGACTTCCTGCTCGCCGCTGGCCAGATCGCGCTCGAACCAGTTTACCCCAGTTGACCCTAGCCGAGTTTCTGTCGCTTGTAGACTGTAGTGTAGTGTGTACGATTGCGCTAGATTTGCAACAGATGGGGTCCGCGAGTCGTAAAATACCGGTATTTTAGGAATCCATTGTCAGTTTGAGACATTTTTCAGCCAGGTCAGACTGGACCCGGTGTTATCTGTTCAGCCAGGTCGTGCAGTTCCCCAGCCGGGCGCGTGACCCGGCTGACCCGGCTCTCCAGCAGGCCCTGTGATCATGTATGACATGAGCCTCAAACGCCCACCGAACCCCCCAACACGGCATACAGGGGAGACAGTAGTGCAGTGGAGTGCTCAACTACAGTGCACTCATTTCTCACGACTCCTATCCGGACCTCCAAGTTACGGGCATCTTGGTCTACGGGGAACCCTGTGAGTGAGTTCTAGTGGATATATTACTACTTTACTACCAATTTGTGGAAATACCAGAAGTGACGTAATATGCCAGATCTACGTGCCTTCCACATCAAGATGTACGTGATTACGAACATTTCCAAATGAAGGGCAGAGCCCTCGGTCCCGGACCGCCCGGATACAACAGATAAGAGTGTACTACATATAACGTTACATGCATAGGATTGATTGATTGCAGCTTATATCAATCATATTTTCTGAAAATTGTAGTCCAAGTTGCTGTCTGATGATCGGTTAAAACCGTGAAACTCAGAGTTACAGCAGAAACGCTTTTGATTCTCTCAAGTGTATGCAGGATTGCTGACGTACCAGACTGGGTGACTCCACTTGAGGCTCCAACTTAGTCTTGGTGAACTCCAGGCTAATGACGTTGTAGAGTTTGTCGCGTTTCGCATTCGTGTAGTATCTGCACAAAAGAGTACATGGCGTGTGCCAAACACACACACACACACACACACACACACACACACACACACACACACACACACGCACACAAGCACACACACACACACACGCACGCGTACACACACACAAACACACACATACACACACACACACACACACAATGTAGCTCCACGTCTCTTGGAACCTAAGAAAACACCCAAAAGACACCATGCCACCAAGACTTGCACTGAAAGGCTTACTTTGTAAAGTTTGCCATGCTCGTGGTGGAGCCTTGTTGTGAGGACACATCCATGATGTCAATAGTACGCCCACGCCTGCCCATCACCCAAAGACCCCCTAGCGATCTCACTGGCCCATTGCCCGCCATCCTCCTGGCACCTCCACCCATCTGCTGTACACTGCCTCCCCATCGCCTCTTTCTGCGCTTTCATGCTCACACCTGCCTGTTGCCTGCCACCCTCCTGGCACTTCTACTGTCGCGCCGTGGCCCGCACCAGCTGTTTTCCCCATACCTTACACCAGATTTAGCGCTAAATTTGTTTATGCTTGTGGCCCTATGTATTTATAAGCATACTGACTCACTGTTGGGTAGACCCGAGTATCAGTTGTCTGATGTTTGCCTAACGGCATGAAACTCAAGAGTTACAACCAACCTGAACGTCCTCCGCTGAGTCTGCTATGATTTGAAAACTCCGTATGGCGGAACCCAGGTGCGCATGCAGTTTACGTAAGACTTTCCGTAGATCGACTACATTTTTTAACTAACGTAATTACGTTATGCGGAACATCTCTAACAAAGTACAGTGAGTGCAGGGAAATACTTCGACAACTGCAGACAGTCAGTAGGGACCTTTCGCACCCCGCGTACGGATACGAAACGAATGCTGATTCGTCACCTGGGTTCGAGGATTCGTCAGAGTCCCTGCGGAGAACTCGTTTTCACGAATGGAAGCCTCTTCATTCGTGGCACGCTCCGAATCCGTCAGGTACACATTTATTTGGATAGGTACACATGTTTTGCAAGGTACACATTTTTCCCTTGATTCCATGATCCATGCACGAGTGCGTGTAAAAACCCGTACGCCAAGCTACCGGCGCCCGCGGCCGTATTCGATATTCGTAGTTGCCATGCACATTTGCATGACGACTTGCGAAACCTGAAATCTGTTTTCAACGAAACGATTACGAGCCGAATCAAACTTTCGTTTCGCATTCGTTTCGTAGCAAATGCGAAAGGTCCCTAGTTATAGGCGATTCACACGACAGCCACTTGCACGTTTTACGGCGAGTGATTTACGAGAAAAGTGACTGTGTGGATTCACATGGCTGCACTCAACAGCGGGCACGTTTGCATTTTTGAATGATTCACCCACCAGTTGCCATGAGTATTTCAAATTTTCAAACGTGTACAATAATTATCATGGTGAAAAGAGCCGCGTAAAAAGTCAAGTCTTGTTTTGCGCTTTTTGGTGTAAATATAGTTTACTGCTTGCCGCAGAGGGGCTGAGGGCTAGACCCACAGGACACTTCTGATCATAACTCACTAGACCTAGTCTTTCTTAAACTTGCATTCAGTTTCGGCGGGGACAATACCCCCGACACACGACCAACAAAATCTCTGTCTTTGACGCCATCAGAATATCTATGCAAACACAGCCTAACGGACAAAGTCAAAAAAGCCGTGACCTGATGTTGACACAGCCTGGTGAGTATGGAGCTTGCATGTCGAGTCTGCAGTTAAGGAATTAATACCTCAAAAGTTGAAGCGAAATAACCTGAACAATAAACTGTGGTATAATGCGGGAAAATCAATAAATTACAAAAATGTCACGTTCGGAAATTTTATTGGGTGGTCATCCCGTTTGACTGTGCGAAGTAAAATTAAAACAACCAAATGGTTGGGTTGATCTGCACGCACTGTGCAACCGATTCTCTCACCTTTCTTCCTCCAGCTATGCCTGTGACACCCTTTGTGAATCTGCGAAACACTAGTGGCAGGCCACGCGAAAATGAGAATGCGCGCAGCCAAGTTTAGGCCATCATCTCCTTCATCCATCATCCCGGCGGTAACTCTGCCCGTTCAATATCCAACACCAGTCCCCAGGAAAGAATAAGGCACGAGATTTCAAGTTCAAGGGCAAAGCTAAAGCCAATGGCACTGATTTTTGGAATTATCGAGTAGAACGAAAATAAATAATCGAAGGCGATCATAATGACGATCAGATTCGACACACACGTGACACAGTTTGGGTCGCGCTCGTGTGTCGCGCTTCGCAGCTCGAGCGCGCCCAAGATGAGTCTCGCGAGCGCGACAGGCTAGCCGCTTGCGACAAAAGTTGTCTTTTTTTTACGAATTCTGTGACGTCATGTTTTGGAAGAATGTCCCAACAGTCATTCGCGTATCGACAGAGATTTGGAGCAGGTTTGCGCTCAGTGTCCGGAATGCCAAGCTGAAGCACGCCTGCCAGCGAAGGAGTTTGGTAGCTGGTCATGGCCGACGGGACCTTGGCAACGCTTACATAATTGATTACGCCGGTCCTTTCATGGGCAAGATGTTTCTTGTCATTGTTGATTCATATTCTCGATTTCTGGATATTGTTCCTATGGACCGTGCAACGTCCGCTACTACTATCGCTGCTTTACGCCGTGTCTTCGCTTTGTTTGGCCTACCACATCACATCGTATCGGACAACGGCTCACAATTCACGAGTGAAGAATTTCAATCATTCCTACACAAGAATGGCATTCGACACACTTGTTCCGCTCCTGGACATCCGGCAACCAACGGGTTAGCAGAACGCTATGTTGGGGTTTTCAAGTCAAAATTGAAAGCCATGGGTACGCAGGGTGACCTACACGCTACGCTACAACGCTTCCTCCTGTCACATCGTACAACCCCTTCAGCAAACAACAAGTCACCAGCTGAGATGCTTATGATGCGTCAACCACGTACCCGTTTTGACACGCTAAAACAGACCGCCAAACCGTCTGTTGACGCTTACGAACGCAACATGAACAAGACCCCAGAATTCCAACCAGGCGACGCTGTGTTCACTCTAAATTTTGGCTCTTATGGTTCAAAGTGGGTCCCAGGTCGCATCGTGTCAGTCATCAGTCCAGTCAACTACCAAGTTCAAGTTCAGGATGCTTTGTGGAAGCGTCATCGCAACCAGTTGAGAGCACGTTCAGTTCCTTTGTCTGAGTTTGTGAGGGAGGATGTGGCTGAAGCTCCCCCTAAATCGACGCATCAGGCTCCATCGTCATCCGCTGATACTGGTCCCAGTGTTTCTTCTACCGGTACAGTTTCAAGTTCAAGTCCTACTACCGCTGAGAAACAACCGTCAAGTCAGTCAACAGTCAGCCCTACACCAACAACCACGACAATACCTACGGATAGTGAGTCTGAGTCTAGAATGCCAACACCATCGACACCTGGTCAGAACACTAGTACGACCCAGTCCGGCCGCCAGGTTGTCATACCTGAACGGTACCGCACTCAAGCCAAGTAGTGGTTTCCAGTTACTGCAGTGGTCATGAACTGTATTATAATGTGTATACAAATCTTGTTTCTGTAAATAGTTCAAATAATTATAGGTATTAGCCGTCATAAATACATGAATAGTTACTATGTCAGCCATGGGTATCGGTTATAATTCTATAGCGAATGATGACATAATTGGTTGCAGATCAGACACTCGCATAGTAGCCATCCATACGTATTTGAACCACTCTTATTACTGTTTTCCATGTTCGTCTTTTTCTAGTGGTGGGGGAATTGTTGTGTCCCTCAGTCAAGTCATATTATTATGACTTCTCACGAGCATGCGCACTAGAGATGCATGCTCGTGTGAAGTTGGTTTTGGGATGTTTGGAGGCAGTCTTCTCTTGCTGCAGCTGAGTCTGGTTGAAGATATTACATTCCGAGTTCAGAGCAGTTCAGAGTGAGCCAGTTACGTGTGTGTATAACTGCATGATTAGATCATTGTATGGTCTAGGCAGGGACCATACAAGAGCCCTATTTCAATATGTGGCCAGCTGTCTTTTACGGTACGGTACGAGACATGTACGTGACAGTGCCAGTCACATCACATGATTCGTGCCGGCCCTATGGAACACACATACACATTCAAGTGCTGTGGAGCCTGGCTAGCACCAGACACTACTAAAGTAACGTATTTTGCGTAGCTTCAGGAATATGCTCAACGTAGTTCGTAATCTATAAAATAGTATGTGATGATAGACTGGTTACAACGACGCAAGAGAAAATAGTTGCGCCGTGATATCATCACATCCAATTGTCAGCGATTCACACTGCCCACCGGGGCAGACGCACAAATTGCCTACCGAGAGCTAGCCCGCAGCTGCCCACCTTGGGCCAATCACATGAGCGGTCACAGAGGCCAACAGCCAGCCCATTGTGGGCTGAATGATCCTGCCAGCCGTGGGCCGCTAGCATACTCTCACTGCCCACTAAGGGGCGCACAAATGTCCAACGCGGCCAGCAACCTGCCCGACGAGGGCGTATGAACGGCCGCCGAGGCCAGCAACCTTGCCACCGAGGGCTGAAGCATACTTCCCCACAGGGGATAAAATGTACAGCCCACCGAGGGCTGAATCATACTGTCTATTCAGCCAATGAACAGCCACCAAGGGCAACAACCTGCCAGCCAAAGGCTAAAGCATATTACCCACTGTGGCCGGTCACCTACTGCCAAGTGAGGGCAAACAAACGACCAATGAGGCCAAGAACTCGCCCCGCTGAGGGCTCACACAGCTGCCTGGTATGAGGCATCACACTACACACACATCTACAAGTACAGCATGAGTACATGTATAACTAGGTAGAATGTTTGTCAAGTACTTACATGTACATGAATAAAGGATTTGACCCGGTTCGGGGATCAAGCCCTGTGGCGGAAACATGAATATGCGGCCACAGAGAGAAAACAGGGCAGCATATGGCCCTGGAAATCAACCGGCAACTCAACGGGCAATATAGCGTAGCAAATAGCTTGGATTTCATTGCAGGGAAAATGAAACAGCAAACTCGAAATTCTTAGAACATCAACTACCAACTTCAGTATGATCACGTGCATAGACTGAAGAGACAAGTAAAATATTAGTTCAAAACGCTCAAGTACTCGCACGAGTGCACCGTGCCGATGAGTTCAAAACTATGTACACTATCATCCCATTGTGCCTGGGGAGCAATGTGCAGCACAGAACATGCAACAAAGCTAGCGTACAAAGAACCGGCTTGAATCCGGCAAAACCACACGGAGCTGACATCTCGATAACCAGCATCCTGGTGCTTGTGTCCACTGCCTTCTACTTGTCGACATAGCTATTCCGTGTATTCTGCCTCACTGCAACAAGACAAAAGTCGTATAGAGAAGCACACAAATTCAAATCAATCAAAGCAATCGTCTTCATCCCCAATCTGATGGATACCACGGCTCTTCCTGAGATGTGCACAGGGGCGCTG